ACTCTCCTGCTGTATCTCCTCGCGCTAACACTGTGCCGTTCAGCCCCCTCCCCCAGCGAAGAAACCGCTTCGTGAGAAGACCCAGGAGCTCCGGCAGCAGCTCAAGTCTATCGCCAAGCACGAGCAAATATGGAATATTCCAAACATCCTAACGTTTTCGCGGCTCATCGCTGCACCCGTTGTTGGCTACCTCGTGCTGCATGATCAGCATGCCTGGGCCCTCGGTCTCTTCGCCTACGCTGGCATCACCGATCTTCTTGACGGTTGGATAGCCAGACGATGGAAGTTGCAGACTGTCGTCGGTAGCGTCGTTGATCCCATGGCCGACAAGCTGCTCATGGCCATCCTCGTCGGAAGTCTGGCTGCCAAAGGTGCACTTCCAGGTATGTCTTGCCCGGAACCTGTTCCTCTCCCCCTCGTGCATCAACTATCAACTTCCGCAACTACCGCAGCTGCCAACGCATATCACTAAGACAAACTTCGGAGCCTCTCCCGCATCCGAAAGGCACCTCATCTGGTCACTAACGCACGGCAGCACCCCTCGCGATCATAATCTTCGGCCGCGATGCCTCTTTGGCCATCGCCGCCATCTACTACCGCTACGCCTCCCTCCCCTCCCCCAAGACCCTCGCCCGATACTGGGACTTCTCCCTCCCCTCCGCCGAGGTCCACCCCACCACCGTCTCCAAATGGAACACCTTCCTCCAACTCGTCCTCATCGGCTTCACCCTCCTCCTTCCCATCCTCGACGCCCTCCCCCCTCCCGAACCATCAGACCCGGCAACCACCAAACCCCCAACCGAAGAACCCGCTCCCCGTCCCCCCACCGCCGCCCACGTCAGCGACGTCACCTCCGCCACGGGCGCGGCCTGGCACCGGAACAGGGACACGGCCGTCCTCTCGCTTCAAGTCCTCGTCGGCGCCACCACGCTCTGGTCCGGCTTCAGCTACGCCTTCCTGCGCAACGCCGTCACCATTCTGGGCGACAACGAGGCGCTGAAGAAGAAGCAGGGTGTGCGGGGCAGGATGGTCATCTTGGTCAGTTTTGCCGCCGTGTGTGCGGCCGCGGCTGCTTGGGAGGTCAGGGCGAGAAGCCGGAATGCTGTAGACGACAAGGACGATGGCGAGAGGAAGTAGTGGCTACGATGGAACCGCAGCAGGAGTGCGCCTGTTGAACGGAGGAAATTAGACGGCGTCATGAGCGCCAAAAGTGATTGTACACTAGACTACCTACCAGTGCGAACGCCCTGGATCTCTTTCTCTCTCTCTCTCTCTCTCTCTCTCTCTGCCTTGCATGTCGAAAGGTCAAACTCTGTACAATTTACATGTTCGAAAACGTAATCCGCCTGCGCCCAGCAATGCTTACCCTACCCGTCTTGATCTGACAACGCCATCCCAAATGCACGCACACACCATTACCAGCGCGACCACCGGACAAGAAAGAGAAAGTCTCACACCACGACATCCGCAACCCCATTCGCCTCCTCCTCCCCACTCACGACATCACCCTCCACCCTCTTCTTCACAATCTCATCCTCCGCCCTCCCCCTCCCCCTCACATAGCCCAACAACCTCAACGCCCCATTCGGCGTCATCCCCTCGATCCGTCGCGCCTGCCCCACGCTCTCCGGCCTCGCCCTCTCCAGCATCGCCCTCTCCTCCTCGCTCAAGCCAGAAATCTTCGCGTAGTCCAGATCGAGCGGCAACTTGAGCCCCTCGCCGCGCAGAAACGACGCCATGTTCCTGCTCTGCTGCTGGACGTAGGGCGCGTACAAGCCGTCGATGTCGACGCGGGCGCGGATGGCGGGCGGGTAGGAGGAGATGTCCGGGAGGACGGGGAGGAGGGAGTCGGTGGTGACGCCGGGGAGGCGGAGGAGGTCGTAGGCGGAGCGGCGGCTTGTGTCTTCGCGGACCTTGAAGCCGGCGGCGACCCAGGACGGGGCGGGCAGCCGGTGGCTCTGGAGCAGGCTGCTGAGTGCGTTCATCTGCTCTAGGGAGTCGGTGAAGGAGGACCAGCGCTTGTCGGAGACGACGCCGGCGGAGCGGCCGAGCGGCGTGAGACGGGTGTCGGCGTTGTCGGCCCGGGCGGACATGCGGTATTCGGACCGGGTCGTGAACATGCGGTACGGTTCCGAGACGCCTTTGGTGGTGAGGTCGTCGATCATGATGCCGATGTAGCCGTCTGCGCGTGTGAGGACGAAGGGGGATAGGGACTGGGCGGCGCGGCCGGCGTTGATGCCGGCGACGATGCCTTGGGCTGCGGCTTCTTCGTAACCGGTCGTGCCGTTGATCTGACCGGCGAGGAAAAGACCCTTGATGCTTTTGGTTTCGAGGGTGGTGCGTAGGGAGCGCGGGTCTACGTAGTCGTATTCGACGCCGTAGCCTGGTTGCAGCATCGTTGCGTTTTCGAGGCCCCGGATCGTGCGGAGCATGGCAGCTTGGGCGTCCGCGGGAACGGTCATGCTGATGCCATTGGGGTAGACGACATCGGTATCAAAGCCTTCCGGCTCCAGCCAGATGAGATGACGCTCTTTGTGGCCGAAGCGGAGGATTTTGGACTCCAAAGAGGGGCAATAGCGCGGTCCTTTGACACTCTCGCGGATATGGATGCTCTTGTCGAGATTGGCGCGGATGATGTCGTGAGCGGCGAGGTTTGTGTAGGTACTGTGACAGAGAAGCTGGTCTTTGACGTCTACTCTTTCGTTGAGGTAGCTGAATGGCCTGGGCGGTTCGTCGCCAGACTGGGGCTCGAGTTCTCTGAAGTCGATGGTCTTGCGGTCAAGTCGCGGCGGCGTACCAGTCTTCAATCGACCAAGCTGGAAGCCTGCTTCTCTCAAAGACTTGCTCAATCCGAATGTCGCTGCTTCGCCCATGCGTCCGGACGGATAGACCTCCAGTCCTGAATCAGATCAGCTTGAGAGCAACCAACATGGCATCCTCGCCGTCGCATAACCTACCAATATGTATTTCTCCTCCAAGAAATGTGCCTGTAGTGATTACAACATTCTTCGTCGGAATCACCCTCCCATCCTCCAGCCTAACACCAGTGATCTTCCCATGCTGCCCTTCACCAGCAGCAACCTCCCCCTTCTCGACGACAATATCCGCAACCTTGCCCTCCAAAACACTCAATCCCGGATAGGCCAACATCTCCTCTGTCATATACCGATTATACAACTTCCGATCGATCTGTGCGCGCGGTCCCCACACCGCAGGGCCCTTCCTCACATTCAGCATCCTGAACATCACGCCCGCCTTGTCGACAATCCTGCCGACAACGCCATCCAAGGCGTCAATCTCGCGCAACATTGTGCCCTTTCCTATCCCACCGAACGAGGGATTGCAGCTGCAGACGCCGAGATTCGAGACCGAGGGCGTGACGAGCGCGGTGCGGGCGCCTGAGCGCGCTGCTGCGGCGGAGGCTTCGGTGCCTGCATGACCGCCTCCTATGACGACGACATCGTAAGGCCTTCGTAGGTATTAGCAATCGTAAGATGCCGTTGGCAGTCTTCCATGATAGCGTACTGTGAGTCGCTCGCGACTGTGGCAAACGTTCGGCCACGAAAGGTACGCCGGAGTGCGATTGACCGCACGAGGGGCGCATGGCCCCAGAGCATGCGCGCTCTGACTATGGTAGAGCCATTCATTTGTTAGAGCGAGCGGACTCGAATGATTGGTGTTGTGGCCGAGACAAAAAGTTAATGGATCGGATTGATACCGCAAGGCGGTGGCAGAAAAGTGACAAGCAGGGTCCACCGCTGACCGCAAATCTGGGGTAGCCGGCGATTGAAAACGTGATTCATGCTGTGTTTTCAGCCTTCAATGGACTTTGTATTTAGGATATCTCGCATACATCGCATCAAAACAGTTGTTCGGGGACCAAGCAAACTCATGGAAGAGTGGCGTATAACACAAGGGAATTGTACATGTGATGTCCTGCCAAGAGAAACCCTGACCGAAGAATTGTAAAACGCCGTGCTGTCTCAGCCTTCCTCGCATTGGCGGTCCAACCGAAAGTGGCAGCTGTAATCATTTCGTCGAGAAGAGAAAGCGGAGAATTCAGGACGTGCTAGGCTTATGAGTCTTCTAAGAGTGACCAATGCCGCTGTCGGGCTCCTCCGCCGCACTGCGGTTGCTTTCCTCAGTGGCGGGACGGCTGAGGACCTCTATGCTTCCTGTTGTATGTTAGAAAAAAAAGTGCAGGATTGAGGGTAATCTTGGAAGACACGAAAGGTTTGTGAACGTACTCTGCACCAGATTCAACCTGGAAGTCCTCTTGCCGTCTTCCGTCTCGAATTGAGACATCGAAGCATCAGCATCGACATGCAGGAGAGTTCTGCCATACCCGAATTAGCCATGCCCAAGTACTTCCTCCCAGCAAGTTTTTCCGTCCAAATCTTCGGCCAGCTACCAAGCAAACAAATGTCCACTCACCCCTTCGGCAGACGCAGCAAGAAGTCTTTCCTCGGGCCCTCATCAAAGCACGCGACGTTGAACCAGCTCGTCTTTCTGTTGTCGCGAGGTCCAGAGGAGGTCCCGAGCGCGTACTTGACCAGTTCGCGACCAGTGGTGGTTTGAACGACTTCAGGCTCCGCGGCAAGGCGGCCGATGACTTGCATCTTCGCGAGAGCGGCGCGGGGAGTGCTGGAGAAGGAGCGCGCGAAAGGACGGGAAAGCGCCGGGAGCGCGCGGAAGCTGCGGAGAGAGGCCATTGTGGAGGTGAAGTGGTGGATGGGCTTTGGTGTGAGGATTGGAGCTTGGGAGAAGGTTGGATGAATGCGCGGTTCGATGGTTTGACGCGCTGCCAAGACGCGCGACGGGAAGCGTGCTACGGCGCGCAAGGGGCACCGTTGATCCGAGTCTTTTGGGATCGCCAACGTTCGCTTAATTTGCGCTCTTTACAGCGCCTTTCAAGGTCGCGTTTGATTCGTCTACATTAGAATCTTCCCACAGTTGGACAAATAAAAGAAAAGCAAAAAAAAAGGCAAAAGAATAAGTCCTAGTCCTGGAGGGGGTCGAACCCTCGACTTTCGCATAACCCAGTAGGCCATACCTGTTCCGAGGAACAAATATAAGAACGACACGCTAGCCACTGCGTCACAGGACTTTCAATGAAAATTTTCGCTAGTATGTTTAATATACTGCATGCCAAATTCCACGAAGCCAGTCAACCCCTGCAAACACCCAAAGAAGCGAAAGCAACCACAAAAGGAGGCTCTTCTCACATAATACACTGCATCTATGGAGCAATATAGCTGGGATGGGTATATGTTTTCTGCACGAACTTGCGTTGCTGCCTTCCCGGAAGTATGCACCTCTACTACACCTCCGCAACACCAGCTTACAGCTGGAACCTCGTGCGCACCTTCTCGGATCCCGCCTTCCACTGCCACTCCTGCCCGCTCGCCTTCTGGATACCCTTGTCTATGCGCCTCAGCTTGAGCGTGAACCTCGGACCCAGCTCTTGAAGACCTGCTCGGATCTCCTCCGCGCCCTTCATGGGCTTGCCGTCTGCGTCGACCACGCTTTTCTCAGTCGTACGCTTGTCGCGGAAGACGTAGCGGTGGCGTCGGAAGAACATGTAGTCGCGTTGATTGTCTGAGAATGTAATGTCAGTTTCTGTTGCGCTTGGGAGTGGAGAAGGCAGGAGATTTGGGTGAAAACTCACGTAGCGTCACCACTTGCCGCCCTTCGATTTCCGGCTGCGGCGGAAACATGGTGCGGAAGAGATGTGCCGTCAAGAGACCGAGTGGCGTGCGGAAGTTGTTCAGGATGAGTTCGGGGTAGTGGTTGGTCGCGTTTCCGTGGCCGGGGAGCTTCTTGCCTTCGACCCAGTTGCTGATGCTGAAGTGGAACATGGGCCCGTGGGGAAGATGTACTACGTCCAGTCCAGAAGGCTTCTTCAGGTCCTCATTGAGCACAATGACCGTCGTGTAGTCGCGGTTACTGGCGAATTTGGATATCTCCCTTATGGAAAACTTGTGCCCGTAGCGATGATTCGTTCTGCGGACGTAATGGCTGCCAGGGAATAGTTCCGTGAGGAGCTCCGCCTCTTTGTGGAGTGTGCTGTTGATCGATGTCGTGATGAGAATCTTGGGTTCTCGGGGAGGACTGAAAAGCGTGGGAAACTTCTCCGCCAGTGTATCAGGCGTCAAGTTCATGTTCGTACTTCTTGTAGATCCGCCAGGACTCGATGCGCGCCTATCCCGCGGCGGTGATACGGATGCTCGTTTTTGTCGCGCAGGTTTCGCCTCGTCTTCCGATTCGGCCTCCTTCTCGCTCTCTGAGTCGAGCATACTATCCACATCGTCTTCATCTTCGTCTTCGGATCCCGATTCAACAGCATCTTCGTTCTCTCCATTCTCCTGGGCCTCCTTTTCGGCCAACCTCTGCCGTTTCAAGCGCTCCACATCCACAGCCATGTTCAAGACATTGTCATCATCGCTGTCGACGTTGTCCCATACTCGTTTCCTGTCAATCGTTGCGGGAATATTGCGCGCCAACCGTTCTTCCTTCAGCTTTGGATTCTTCTCTTCCTCTCTCTTTCTGCGAAACTTCTCATCTCTTGTCAGGTTATCCCGTGCTTTCTTTTGCTTCACGTGAAAATCGTGTCTCTGGATCTTGTTCGCCGTTTTGAAGGGAAGCGCGTGCTTCGACGACAGCTGCTGCTTCGAGGAGCCCATTATGGGCGGAGGGGTTGCGTTTGTGTGCGAAGACGAGGTCGATGTCGTTCTCCGAGTCTACAGGTCCCGAAAAGCTGGAGTGCAGGATAGTCAAAGTGATTCGCGAATTTGAGGACTTTAGTTCCGGCAGAAAGCTGCATCCCGACTCCCGCACTTTTTCTGAACGCCGCGGGGATATCAGCCGAGGATTTACCGCCGTCAGAAGCTCTGATTCATTGGCCTTCGACTCCCTTCTTTAGGAACACACAAGGTCGGTCAATTGATGCGTTGGACTGTCTGCTTCTCGCGCTCTCTCCGTCCCTTCACCCGCATCTCGTCGCCACAAGTACCGGCTTCAAGTCAAGCCCGCACATTTACAGCATCGCCAGCTTCATTCAAATTTCTACCTGAGAAGTTCAAGGAAGTCATGGCTTCCACTACGACTACTAAAGCCGGCGCGCCCTTCATCCGCGAGGTATTCGACTCGGTCCTCCGTCGCCGCCTCTTCTACACGCCCTCATTCGAAATCTACGGCGGGGTGTCCGGTCTGTACGACTATGGCCCGCCTGGTTGCGCGCTGCAGGCGAACGTTGTGGATGCGTGGAGAAAACACTTCGTCCTCGAGGAGGATATGCTGGAGGTCGACTGCACGATGCTGACCCCGCACGAGGTGCTGAAGACCAGCGGCCATGTCGACAAGTTCGCCGACTGGATGTGCAAGGACCCGAAGACTGGCGAGATTTTCCGCGCGGATCACTTGGTCGAGGAGGTTCTGGAGTCGAGGCTTAAGGGTGACAAGGAGGCTCGTGGTGAGAAGGTGGAGGACAAGGAGGACCCCAAGAAGAAAAAGAAGAAGGTCAAGGAGATTACGGCTGTGAAGCTCGATGACAGCGTCATTGCCGAGTACGAGAACGTACTTGCGCAGATTGACAACTACAATGGCGAGGAGCTTGGCCAGCTCATGGTCAAGTACGACATCAGGAACCCGGCTACTAGAAACCAGCTGCTCCCGCCGGTTGCGTTCAACCTCATGTTCCAGACTGCCATTGGCCCTAGCAGCAACATGCCTGGCTACCTTAGGCCCGAGACGGCTCAGGGCCAGTTCCTTACTTTCCAAAAGCTCCTCGATTTCAACCAGCAGCAGATGCCTTTTGCTTCGGCCTCGATCGGCAAGTCCTTCCGTAACGAGATTTCTCCCCGTTCTGGTCTCCTGCGCGTGCGCGAGTTCCTGATGGCGGAGATTGAGCACTTTGTCGACCCCGAGGGTGGCAAGAAGCACCCTCGCTTCAACGACGTCCGTCACGTCGAGCTGGAGCTTCTGAACCGCGATGTGCAGCTCTCTGGCAAGACCACTGTGCAGACGACGCCGATTGGCGAGGCTGTGGAGAAGGGCATTGTGGACAACGAGACTCTGGGTTACTTCCTTGCGAGAATACAGCTTTTCTTGCTGAAGATTGGCGTCGACCCGAAGAAGATTCGCTTTAGGCAGCACATGGCAAACGAGATGGCTCACTACGCGGCTGACTGCTGGGACGCTGAGCTTCTTACCAGCTACGGTTGGATCGAGTGCGTTGGCTGTGCCGACCGCAGCGCTTACGGTAGGAATGCATGCGACCAAGTCGAGGAGATATGCTAATGGTTGACAGACTTGACCGTGCACATGAACAAGACCGGCGCCCCTCTGCTGGTCCGCGAAAGGAGAGCGGAGCCCCTCAAGGTCGAGGAGTGGCAGATTGACCTCGACAAGAAGAAGTTCGGTCCCAGGTTCAAGAAGGACGGCAAGACGATTGAGGCAGCGGTCGAGGCGTTGACGCAAGAGCTCCGCGAGAAGCTCTCCATCGACCTGAAGAACGAGGGCAAGATCACGGTCGAAGTGCCTAACGTCGGCGATGGCAAGGTCGAACTCGACAAGGAACTCATCAACATCGAGAAGCGCACGAGGGTGGAGAACACGCGCGAGTACACACCCAATGTCATTGAGCCTTCTTTTGGCATCGGTAGAATCCTGTACTGCTTGATGGAGCACTCGTACTGGATCCGTCCCGACGATCAGGATGAAGCTCGCGGTGTATGTGCCCTCCAGCGACTATCACGGTTTTCGGGAGCTAACATGAAAGCCAGGTCCTCTCCTTCCCCCCGACCGTGGCTCCGACCAAGGTGCTGCTGGTGCCCCTCTCCACGCACCCCGACTTCGCGAGTCCGATACAGCAGCTGAGCCTCAAGCTGCGCAAGAGGGGAATCTCGAACAGGGTGGACGACTCGTCGGCCAGCATCGGCAAGCGGTACGCACGCAACGACGAGCTCGGCACGCCGCTGGGTATCACCGTCGACTTTGAGTCTCTGCAAAATGGCACCTACACGCTGCGCGACCGCGACTCGACCAAGCAGGTCCGGGCCAGCGAGGCGGAGATCCTCGCGGCGATCAAGAGCCTGTGCGACGGCGAGGAGGACTGGGCGGCCGTGTCGGCGAGGCTGCCCGCGTTTGAGGGCCAGCAGGTGGAGTAAGTCGGTAGGCAGTGGAAAGGGAGCATGATGCATGGGACAGGAGAGAAGGGGACATGTACAGAGTAGTGGATGAGTAGAGAATAGTCGATATGTCCAAGGGCGGGGGACATACAAATCGGCATGATGCCGGCTGTTTGGGTCTGCGTGGCCCGGAGACACAAAATGCACAGTTGGGCCAGCAGCAGCGGCGGCGGCAGCAGCAGTAGCGGCATTGCAGCAGCAGCAGAAGAAGCACAAGCACAAGCACAAGCAGAGTCATGTCGATGCAGATTGCAGATGTAGTGCAACGGAGAGGGCGTCGATGGATTATGACAGGTCGGCTGCGAGACAGACATCAGAGGCAGCTGGTTGGCGAGAGTGAGCGCAGGCGATTGCAGCAGCGATTGCCGATTCGCAGCATCCTCACCGCCTCTCGGATGGGCGAGCGAGACAGCGAAGCACTTACGGCAGCCAGCTGGCATGGTGGGCAGCGGGGAGGGAGGGGAGGGGAGCACTGCGAAGAGTGCGAGGAGGAGTTGTGGTGGTGGCCGAGAGCAATCAAATGCATGGATCCCAAGTCGACGGTTCGCCGGGCGGGAGCCGCCGCAGCAGGCCAAGGCGTGGCAGATGCGCACCCACGTGATTGAGACAGAAGGATGTCGGAGGAGGAGGGAGGAGGGAGGATCTTGGTCTTTCTGTGGTGTGTCTGTTTGTCTGTAGTGTGTCTGTCTGTGGTGTGCCATGAGCTCTCGAACGTATCGGCGGGCTCTCGATTTGGCCCGGCGTGGTGGGACTGGTGGGACTGGTGGGACTGGTGGGACTGGTGGGACTGGTGGGACAGTGGGACTGCTGGACTGCTGGACTGCTGGACTGCTGGACTGCTGGACTGCTTGCCTTTTCCCCTTGATGGGGCACTTGTAACTTACACCTAACGTTACTGTACTGTAATCTATGGGATCTG